TGTTCTATTTGCAGGCTTGGGTTTACCACTACCTTTTTTCTGATGTTTAGCCCCTCTACATTTCTTTGCAATGTGTCCCTTTTTGTGACACGCATGACATGTTGCCTCTTTAAACCCACAGTGTGCAAGTGGTCAGATAATTGCTTTGCAACAGCTTTTTCAGGGATTTTAGAAATAAACAGGAGATTGGATATTGGTCTATAATTAGCTAGAACACCTGGGTCAAGAGTTAGAGGTATCGATACAGCAACTTTAAAAGCCTAGATGAAGCAATTGTTGAGGTCAACTCAGAGAGATCAATAGGAGAGAGGCACTTCAAGTACAAATGAGGTCTTACAGATGTGTTACATCCTGTTACAGCTAGCCATATCACAAACAATCAGAGAGGACTCAGAAAAATGCAGGACTCGCACTGGACCGCTAGAGGAGCAACCCGGGATTGAAGGAGAGGTGTGGAACACTATATTAGAGCAGAGGATAAGAATGTGAGAGAGGATAACAGGTATACAGAGATACGTAGAGTCTATATCAAGTACTAAAACAGAGGACCTAAAATTGTGGCTCAGTGGTGCTGGAAGGCTGGGGATTAGGGCACTAAAAGGTTGAGAAGACTAACATATTCAGGGGTGCTGATTCCCCTGGAGGCTCAAACCCCCTACCAGGAAGAGCAAGGCAGGTCCATTCAAATGGTGACCGCTGTAGATCATCAAGGCCAGGGCTGAGCAGGTGTCAGGTTTGCTCGGCTGCACCTGCCTCTCTCACCTCCCTCTCTTTGTTTTTTGGTCCCTGATCACATCACTTTGCACACCTGCCACTCGTTTCCTTAATTGATGCCAGCTGTTTTCACCCAGTCCTTCACCTTATTTATACCCAATTCACTTTACACTCCCTTGCCAGTTCATTTGCTTGCTTCCAGGCTGACAATTTGCGCCACTTTCTAATTCTCTATAGTGTTTTCTGTTTTGAGTTGTTACTAGTCAAGGCCGTTTCTGGATTATTGTCTTGTTTTTCCCAGCATCTACGCTACACCTCTCCAGTCCCTCCTGACCACCTCTCCAACAGATTACCTTCTCCGGACCATACGCCTCATTACCCTGCCAATCCCACTAGTCAGATTGATGCACAGTCCTACATACTGCTCATCTCACCATTGTCCTCTACTCTGTCTTCTCAGACGCTTTTCATCTCCATCAACCAGCCAGTAAGTGACCCATTCAGTTCCGCAGCTCGGCCCACCTTCTCAACCACAGACTAGAGACTCATTTCTGTACTGATTGACACCTGGTTTTCCCTATACCCATAGTGATTTTGTTCTGTTGTTGTCACGTCACTTGTATATATTGTATAGCACTCATTAAATCCATTTGCATCACCGTCAGCCCTCTGGGTCCGTTCATTTCCGCTCACTCACTTCCCTGTGTGTGAGTGTTCCTTAACAGCAGGAGGTTCTCAAAGTTCACAGAAGAAGGCAGAGGTAAAGCCATGAAGAGGTTATACATTAAAGTGCTGGAAAATTTCCAACTTTAAACAGTAAAAAGCAAGCCTCTAACTTAATAACCCGAGAGGTTTGATGGAGCATGTTACGCACCCTGTTTTGAACAAGTGCAGTAATTTTAGTCATACTGTTAAACAACAATAATACAAAGATCTTGTTTCTATGGCTCCTGTGTAGAAGCCATTAATGCTTGTGAGGAAGCCGTGTCTGTGTCTTTGTCATTATCGATAAAGGAGTTGGAATCAGCACTAATAAGTGAGATGCAGTACAACAAGGAGACTGGCAGGAGGTGGATCTTGTTAGTTTCAAATGATATAGGCTAAATGTGGCCTTTCTCTTGTCTCATACATCATATGATGATATGATATCCATACATTCTGTATGAAGGCCACGATATGCTAACTCCTGGACATAGGAATAAAGCTTAACCTCTCACACTAAGGTGGCATATTTGAAACATATTAAAGCTCCAAACACTGCTTTAGGTTGTATGAGGGAGATATTCACTCAGTAATTGACTACCATGAACCTGCAAACAGAGTTCACTGCAGACCTCCCTCTTTCATGTTATTAATTCAGAATAAGACCCGAAACCTCCCAAATAACAACAACCTGCAGTTATTGTGGCAGCTACCTCCTAAACCCTCAGATGTCACTGTACTGAGAAATTTTTATAAGCCAGGACACTTTGGCTCTTTGAGGAAGTGTTAAATTTTGTCTGAAATAACCAATGAAAGCTGTGTCACTGGACACTTAAGACCATATTTGTTTTGCACATTATTTAGTTGACATAAGATGTTATTAAGGATAGGATATTTAAAGAATTGTGTGTATTATGTAACAAGTAAATAACTGGATATTTTAGATACGTTTTCTGATATAACTTTCTAAACACCGCCTCCCTTTGGACAGCCAGCCGGTTTGTACGGCATAACACCCGAGCAACAAGCCCAATCAGAAAAGTGCTGCTTGTGTTGTCACCATGAGGTATCCGCAGCCAGACACCGCTGGGTTGCCACTGCCTGTTTTAACTTTCTGAGACACTGTTGAGAAGGTTGGCATACTATTAATACTGTTGATTGTTAAACTATATGATTAGCCAGCCGGTTTATATGGCATAACACCCAAGCAACAAGCCCAATCAGAGAGGCACTGCGTCTCTGAGACACTGTCAATCAACACTGTGAATTGTGTAGTGTGTGCAACTTTAACAATTACCACTTAAGAGTGTAAACCCAACCCAGGGGGTGCTCTGGGAGTACGGGGTCCGGGGCCCTTTGCTATGGGCCGTACGGTCCCTGTACGACTGGAGCAGGAGCTTGGTTCGCATTGCCAGCAGTAAGTCAAACTTTTTCCCAGTGCACGTTGGACTCCGGTAGGGTTTCCCTTTGTCACCTGTTCTGTTCGTTATTTTTATGGACAGAATTTCTAGGTGCAGCCAGGGGCCGGAGGACACAGGACCACAGGATCTCGTCTCTGCTTTTTGCAGATGACGTTGTCCTGTTGGCTCCATCAAGCCAGGACCTCCAGCGTGCACTGGGGTGGTTTGCAGCTGAGTGTGAAGCGGCTGGGATGAGAATCAGCACCTCCAAGTCCGAGGCCATGGTTCTCAGTCAGAAAAGGGTGGCTTGTTCCCTTCAGGTTGGTGGAGAGTTCCTGCCTCAAGTGGAGGAGTTCAAGTATCTTCTATCTGTCTTGTTCACGAGTGAGGGAAGGATGGAACGGGAGATTGACAGGCGGATCGGTGCAGCTTCTGCAGTAATGCGGTCGATGTACTGGGCCGTCGTGGTGAAGCTGAGCTGTAAGGTGAAGCTCTCGATTTACTGGTCGATCTACGTTCCGACTCTCACCTATGGTCATGAGCTTTGGGTAATGACCAAAAGGGCAAGATCCTGAATACAGGCGGCCGAAATGAGCTTCCTCCGCAGAGTGGCCGGGCTCACCCTTAAAGATAGGGTGAGGAGCTCGGTCACCCGGGAGGAGCTCAGAGTAGAACCGCTGCTCCTCCACATTGAGAGGAGCCAGCTGAGGTGGCTCAGGCATCTGTTTCGGATGTCTCCTGGGCGCCTTCCTAAGGAGGTATTCCGGGCATGTCCCACCGGGAGGAGGCCCCGGGGAAGACCCGGGACACGGTGGAGATCTATGTCTCTCGGCCGGCCCGGGGGGAG